TTGTATGTATATGGTTATAATAAGTTACCTTAGAGTTTCCAAAACATCATAGAAGGCTTGCTTAACTACCATTTCATCTAAAATTCAGCATGTATGTTAGAGTTAATATGTTAGAAGGTGTTTGAATTATAAAATTAAGATTTTGCAATCAGATTCCATAGAGAAAACTAGAATATTTCCATCATTCTCCTTCGGTTAGTTTTAGCAGAATCGTTTAACTGTTTCCTGTAAAACTCATTCCAAAGTTAACAACTCTATTTTAAATTCCCAGATAGCATTAGTGTTTGAACATTTAACCTGAATTCTTGAATGAAAATGGCTCCATATTCTCAATTGGTAAGCTACATATCCAGTTTTTCCCTCTCGGATGAAGTTGATAGAATTTCATCTTAGCTAAGAACTTATTTTCTTTGCTAAATTCACATGCAGCTCATGTATTATTCCAGTTATACCGCATAAGCAGGAGATTAGTGCAAGTTCTTACCCTTTTCTACCTAAAATCCGTTAACGATAGGTTGCTCTAACTCCCTGCTTCAATTCCTTCAGGTCCTAGCTCCAGCTTCTCTCGCTTTCCTTGTAGTACTCTCTCTTGCTTTTGGTTAGCTAGTGATAAAGCTGGCCAAGCTTTCTCTCCCACTCTCACACTCAGTTCTACACTCTCAGTTCTGTTCTAGAAATGAAGGAAGAAAGAAAGACAACTGCCTAGTTCGTTGCTCTCTACTGCAGTCGGTGAATTGATATGGCCAACGAATTTTTCTTCTTATACTCATTTAGTTCTCTACTTAGAAGACTTAAGGATCAAAAGAAAGTTATGCTACTCGGTGGTCAATGTTTCCAGTCGGTGGTACACTCTTCTAAGCTGCTCCTACTCAAACCAAACTCCAATGCTTCTTTCTCTCGGTTTCTGCTCAAAAAAAATCCTGATGGCTTATTTTTGTTGGCTGGATGGTAGTTCAACCGAGCTCAAGGTTGGTTTGGTAAGGAGAGGAACCAAGGTTTGTTCTCAGCCACCATCCAAATTTTTAGCAAATAGTTTTCTCCTTTTCCTCTCGGTCATCGTTTGGATTTAACAGACCATTGGATGTGGATTTTTCTTTGTTTTCTCTCAATCACCGTCCAAGTTTTGTTTAGCATTTGATTGACTAAGTCCTCAGTTGTCCAGGAACTAAAGTTCTCTTTCGGGGTTGCATGGTGAATTGTCTAACCTTTAGGGTTAAATTGGTCCTTTGGTTTTAGATTATTTGCCTTTTTAAGGGTCCATAATTTTATTATCTCACTCATTGACTCCAAATTTTATTTGTTCTAATTTGTATACACCCTGAAAATTTTTATTCCACTCTAGGATATTTATAAATTCTTAATTTTTATAGGAATTCAATTAGGCATTTAATTTAACCATTTATTTGTTATATATATATTTCTGATATTAATGCAATTATAAGAAAATAATGCAAAGCATACACATAATTTTCTCGAGTTCCCACATGTACTCGTTCATTTGAGCATCTTTTAACATCTTGTAGCACTTTGTAGTAATAAGTAGAGTAGAGGTAGAAGAAGTTTAATTCTAGTTTCATATTGAGAGTTTTTTTTCTTAGATTAAGAGCTTTAAGAGGAAGGTGAAAACACTCTTAACAGAGTTTATTTGAAAGATCAACTTGTGAAGAAATTCAAGGATTTAACCTTCAAGACATTGAATAAGAATTCCTCTTCCTAAACTTGTGTTTTGTTCTTATTTGTCATGCTTTGTTACAAGATTGTTTCATACTTAGATATTCTTCATATGATGTCTAGCTAAACTTTTTCATATCCCAAGGTGAAGATAAACTTGTTATAGTTTTGATTTGAAATAGTTAGAGAATGATTATGCTTTTTCAAGAATCATTAATTTGAGAACTTATGACTATGCTTTATAGTTGTTTGGCCATCAACTATGAATGATTTGATAATTGTTGAGCAATGAAAGTTGTCTTCAAATAGATCTAAATTCTTAAACATTTGCCTTATTCTCACGAAAGTAGTGAATAATGGTTGGTTGGATTCAGACAATAAGTTCATTGAACTTATTAACTTATTTCTTACCTTTTCTCTATGATTATAGGTGAAGGATTATTCAATGAATTAAAGAAATTGGCGAAATTAATTTTTAGAGGAATTAGTCAAGATAGTTTCTCTTAAGAATGTCCATTGGTGAAAGTAAAGACATACATTTGGAAGTTATTTCTTGACAATTCATGGAAGCATAAGCATAATCACCTTAACTAATTTCTAATCATGACATAACAAGGGATTCTAATCCTTAGGATCCTCTTACTTAATCTTATAGCAATTCTAATCTAATTTGTCGTTACTTTTATTTAATTTCTTGCAACATACTGCCTATATGGTTGGTTTTACCACCTAACTAGTTTTATATTCATTGTTTATGTCATATGACTAGTTGTACCATCTAAACTAACATCTTCTATCAAGTTTGTACCACCTAAACTAACATAGTGCCTAAGGTTTTAAAATTTGTAGAGTAGTAAGAATATCCCTATCAAGTTTTTGACGCCATTGTTGGAGATTTAGGTGAGACACTAGAGTTTAATCAAGTTTTATTAATCGAGGGTTCTGGCTACATGGCTAAAAAAGGAAAACTAGGGTTCGATTTGGCCGTCGCCCGTTATGGCAGCACTTCAGCAGCCGGATGGGGCTGTGGGAGATGCGCCGCCCCCATCGAAGAGCTTCGCGGCTGTGGTAACAACCAGCAATGGTGTTGAGGCTTTCCATCCAAGGACTATCTCTACGTATAGGGGGAAACCCGCCCTCAGAATAGCAAAGAAGGAAATCTTGCAATTGGCACGTCCTTTCCAGCACGCACTAGTGGGCAAATTCTCATACAGTAGACCTCCTATGGAGACTGTAAGGAAGTTTTTCCTGTCGCTAGGGCTGAAGGGGGATTGTGCGGTGGCCTTGTTGGATGCGAACCATGTCCTCATCAGGCCAACAATGAAGGAGGATTATGCTAGGTTATTAATACGTCGCACGTGGTTCATAAAGAGCTCGCCTATGACAATCTCCAAACGGTCTTTCGATTTCAAAGCCAACAAAAAAGTAACGATCGTTCCTGTGTGGGTAAGTTTTCTAGGCCTGCCATTACCATTTTTTAGAAGGAACCCACTCAATAAGCTGGCTTCTGTCTTGGGACGACTACTGAAGATTGACGCAGCTACGGGTGATCTGAGGAGGCCGTCTGTCGTAAGGGTGTTGGTGGAGATCGATATAGCCCGCACACCTGTGAAAAAGATCTGGATAGGTGATGAGAAGTATGGTTTCTGGCAGCACGTGGAATACGAGAGTTGGCCAGCGTTCTGCTCCTTCTGTGAGAGGTTTGGCCATGTCCAATAGGAGTGTTATAGGAAGTATTCGGCTCTAAAACCTGCAAAAAATGCCTAGGCACATCTGCCGCAAGGCAAAGACCCCCTTCTCAAAGAGGATCAAGGAACGACCATGGCGAGAGGGGAGGATGTTGGAGAGAGGAGGGATATCCAGAAATCTTCGACTTGGGTGGAGGTAGAGGTGGGAAGGTCGCCCTTGGCTTTGGACCATGAGCAACTGGAGGCCCAGGATGATGAGGTAGTGCAGCAGCAGCAACTGGACCTGGTCGAGGGGTTGGTGCAGACTGGGGACGAGGTAGTGCAGTAACAGTCTGCTGTCGGAGGCACGGCTGAGGGTGAAGGAACCGTAGGTGTGCAGGTGCATGATGGACTAAGTACGGCAACAATGGCTGCGGTTGGAGTGGGGGAGGCAGATGCAAGGGGACTAGATGCATTGCTGCTCGAGAATGTTGGGGATAAGGGGGCTGGGCAAGTGTCAATGGCATCAGGATACAACTCAGTAAGCCATTTGGAGTCCTTGATGGGGTGGGAGATGGGGTAGTGGAGTTGAGAGGCAAAAATCTGAGAGGCGCTGTGTCGCTTAGCCCTGTGCGTGGAGAGGCACCCAAAGGGTTGAGGTATCAGGAACTTCGAGCCATGCAAGTGCAGTTGACACGTCGGTTGGAGCATATTGGCAGGCTGGAGCACAATGGAAGGAATTCTCCTGCAATTGATTAGCTGGATGTGCAGCTCCTGAGGATTTAGACAATAAAGGAGGGACGGAAAGAACGGGCAGGCTCCCAAAACCAAACGCGATGGGTGGGGAAACTCGAAAGAGATGCATTTCGTTCCAATGCTAGGTCCAATTAATTTTCTGGTATGGAATATATGGGGTGCGTCAAAGATGGACTCGCTCCGATACTTAAAAAAGATGAAATTTGACTTTAACGCAAAAATTCTGGTTTTGTTGGAACCTATGTCTGATGAAGGGCAGTTAGATTTTGTGAAATGGTTTGCAGGTTGTAAGTCGGTAGCCTTCTTTGTGGATGGCAAGATCTGGGTCTTATGGGACCTTGCTCTCTCTATTTCATTTACCACATTCGCGGACCAGTTGGTTGATATGGGGTTTAGCTCCCCAACTGGTACACTCTTTCTCTCGGTAATCTATACTCGATGCACAGGGATAGCTAGACGGCCTCTCTGGAGTCCCATGGAGAGTTTGGCGATTTCACGCCAAGGACCCTAGATGTTGGCTGGGGATTTTAACATTATCTTGGAGGCCTCCGAGTGACTGGGGAAACACCACCGAATGCTCGAAACATGGAGGAGTTCAATCAAACGATTTTTAATTGTGGCCTTGTCTCGGTAGATTTTGAAGGGGCGCCGTTTACCTGGACGAATGGGACTATGTGGCAGCATTTGGATCGGGTGTTGGTTAATCACGAATGGGCTGAGATATATGCTATATCAAGGGTTCTGCACCTTGCACGGGGACGATCTGATCATACGCCCCTCTTGATTAAGTGTGGCTTGGAGAGCCAAAGGGCCTCTTCTTTCAGGCACCTCAATGTTTGGCCCCGCCATGGCTCTTTCCTTGAAGTTGTTCAGGAGGCATAGGGAGGGGCTTGCCCAGCACGTACAATGTCAGAGTTCTACCGTAAAATGTCAAGAGTGAGAGGCAAGCTAAGGGCATGGAACAAGGAGGTGTTTGGGCATATTGGCTCTAGGGTGGCGGAGCTTGAGAAAGTTATGCGTATTACGGAGCTCCAGTATGACATGGAGAGGACTGTGATGCCTAAGATTGCTTACCATGAGGCAATGGCGGCCTACATGAAACAATTGGCAATTGATTGTGAATTTTGACGCCAAAAATCGACAGTAAAATGGATTCAGGAGGGGGATGCGAACACGGTCTTCTTCCATGTTGTGGTTCGACAACGGCAAGCTTCTAATTACATTGCCATACGTAGTTCGACGAGGCAGTGGCTGACAAAGATTGAGGACATCAAGTGCTCAGCAGCATCATTTTTTGAGACGCTGTTCAAATCGGATAGGGATACCAACCGTCATCCAGTATTACCTTTCACTCTCCCACGAGTGTCTCTGGGGGATAATGAGAGACAGTTGGCTTTGCCGTCAATGGAAGAGGTTCGTGAAGTAGTGTTCTCCATCAGTCCAGATAGTGCCCCTGGCCCGGATGGATTTGGGTCTGGTTTCTATCAGGCATGTTGGGGGATAATTAAGGAGGAGTTGGTGGCTGTTGTTCAGGATTATTTTAAGGGCGGGTTGTTGTGAAAAAGGGTTACCAACACGTTAATTGTGTTAGTACCGAAAATAGAGGGGCATCTCGCTGGCAAGAATTTTGGCCAATCAGTCTGTGTATCGTCAGCTCCAAGATTATCTCTAAGCTTGTGACAAATAGGTTGAGCAAGCTCCTGCCCCAGCTGATTTCTCCTTGGCAGTTCGATTTTGTCCCGGGGCATCAAATAATTGATGATGTCCTACTGACGCAAGAGCATGCACAGGAACTCGATCGTCAGTTGGAGATTCCAAACCTCATGTTAAAGTTGGATATGGAAAATGCGTATGATAGAGTGGAGTGGTCGTTTCTCCTCTTCATGCTTAAGGCGTTTGGTTTTCAAGAAAATGCGGTCGATCTGATCTTCCGCCTGGTTGCGAATAACTGGTTCTCGATACTTGTAAATAGGGAGCCGGCGGGATTTTTTACGTCGACGCGAGGGGTCAGACAGGGGGATCCTATCTCTCCAGCCCTATTCGTGTTAGTTGCTGAGTTGTTTGGAAGGGGGTTGAATGCCTTGTTCCAGCAGGGTTGACACAGATTTTTTCAGGCTGGAGGACTTAAAGTCCTATACCTGGCATTCGCGGACAATATCATTGTTTTCACGAGGCTGTCGAAGGAGACCTTAAAGGCGGTTGGAGACTTCTTCAAGCAATATCAACAATACCCAGGACAGAAGATTAATGCCTCAAAAAACTGCTTCGTGTGCTCGTCTGGGGTGACTGCGGCGCAAGTTGACCTTGTTTCTACCATTCTAGGGTTTCCACGACAATTCTTTCCTCTAGTCTATCTTGGGGTTCCCATTTCTCGAGGTCGGTGCTCTTCAATTGTCTTTGATGGGATTCTGCAAAGGTAAGGGCTCGTGTCTGTCACTGGAGTGCAAAGTTGCTGTCCACAGGGGGAAATTAATTCTCTTAAAGCACGTCTTGAATTCGATGTCGATGTATCTTTTGCAGGTACTTAAACCCCCTAAGGTAGTCTTAGTTGCATTGGGAAGAATATTTAACACTTTCTTAAGGGATAAAGCACATAACTCTAAACGAATTCATTAGGCTCCTTGGGAGAAGATGTGCTTCCCCACAGAGGAGGGTGGATTGGGGGTTAGGTTGTTGGATGACATGGTCAAAGCCTTCTCCTATAAGTTATGGTGGCGACTACGCCAACGAGGATCCATCTGGTCGGACTTTATGTTCTCTAAGTACGTCGGGGACCAGCATCCGCTCTAGGCTGAAATAGCACGACCAACGGGTACATGGAAGCGGCTACATGGGGTACTGGAGTTGGTGGAAGCTCACATCACATGGAGTCTAGGTTCGGGTATGATAGATTTCTGGCTAGACACTTGGTGTGAGCTTGGACCCTTGAGTTCATTGCTGCCGGCAGATAGGGGCAACCTTATTCATTGGTGGCGGAGTTCTTGGGATGGGAAGGGTGGAATAGGGACCGAATCCTGCAATGGCTTCTGAGCCACCTCGTGGATTCGATTGTGGATATCCCTTTCGACCTGGATGGGCAGGATTGGATCGTGTGGGCAGGGTCGGAGAAGGGGGGCTTTTCGTTAACTTCGGCATGGGAACTGTGTCGACAACGTCGCTGCGGCTTCTCGATGCATGGTATGGTTTGGAATAAGGGTATTCTCCTGAAAATGTCTATATTTGCTTAGAGGCTGCTGAACAGCTTTGTCCCCTTGGATTCGATTCTCCGTCGAAGAGGGCTGCCCTTGGTGTCCAGATGCTCCTGTTGTCTCAAGGCTGAGGAATCAGTGTCTCACCTGTTTGTCAGTGGTCCAGTGGCAAGGGAGGTTTGGGGGCACTTTGGTAATATGTTTGGCATACTTCGCTTGCCACTTGATGATCTGCAGCTACTATGGATGAAGTGGGCCACATTACTGCCTCGCATCCCTAAACATCATGTCAGATGTATCCTCCCGATATTGGTATCATGGTTCATCTGGCAGGGACGCAATAAGGCGAGGTTTGAAGGACAGGCTTTTTCTGCTCGGAGGGTCATCTGGGAGGTGGTTAATTTCATATGGGACATGGGATGAGCTTGGAAAATAGAGAAGGCACAATTCTATGGCGATTTGGATAGTACGTGGGCAAACTTGGCAATTTCGATGACCCGTAAGCGGCAGGCAGTGGTGGTTACATGGACGAAACCTCCAGCCCAGCGGTACAAATTAAACACGGATGCTAGTGTGGTCAACGGGAGGGCTAGTGGAGGTGGGATACTGCGCGACTCAAATGGTAGACTTGTCTTCGCTTTCTACAAAGAGTTTGGGGAGAAGGGGGTCCTGCAGGCGGAGGCAGTGGCAGTATTGGAAGGGTTGCAAGTGTGTGCAGCGAAGGGGATACGGGAGGTTTTGGTTGAGGTGGACTCTGCAGTTCTAGTGTCGCTAGTCAAATCGTCGGCTCTGGGAGGCTTGTCGTATTGTAATTTGCTGAGAAGGATTCGTCGACTGCTGGATCAGGTGTCTGTTTCGTTTAAACACATCTTCTGTGAAGCAAATATGGTTGCAGATAGGTTAGCTACCCTGTAGGGGTACCCTAGTATGGTCTTTTGACTCTCTTCATCATCAACCAAGGGAGATTCACGGCTGCTTGGCTATGGATGCTAGGGAATTCCCATCCCTTAGGCTAGTGCCTTGTTAGGTGGTAGGGCTCATTTAGTTCATTCTCTATATCTATTGTAACTATCTCACTTTAACTTCGAATAAATAAAAGGATCCTTCTTTTTAAAAAAAAAAATTCTAGACTTTGTTACTTTCTCTTTATTTTGCTAATTTTATAATTTCCATCTTTTAGTTGTAATTTTGGTTATTTTTAGGTGCTAAGTTCTTCACCAAGAAGAAATTTGCCTTCAAGAATTAAATACAACAAGAAGAGGAAGAAGACGCACCCAACAAGAACAAATTGAGGTAAAAAGTATAGGTGAAACTTTCATCAAAATAGAGGAGCAAAAACCAAGACCTTTGACGGATAATGCCTTGCCAAATGAATCGAGAGCACAAACTAGCATTGCAAGGCTAATAATTAATGCATGCAACTTTAAAATCAAGCCTTTGCTTTTCCAAATGGTTCAACAAATTCAATTTGGAAGAAATGTAATGGAAGATTCTAATACTCATTTAACTAATTTCATGGATTTATGTGGTACAATCAAAATAAATGGAGTAAGTGATGATGCAATTAAATTAAGGTTGTTTCTTTTTTCACTTTGTGATAAAGTGAAAGTATGGATTAATTCTTATCCCCCTAATATTTTCACTTCTTGGGGTGAGTTGGCAAAAGCATTCTTGAATAAATATTTTTCTCTTGAAAAAACGGCTAAACTTCATACGAATATCATAGGTTTTATTCCACATGAAGGCAAGTCGTCATATGAAGTTTGGGAGGGATTCAAAGGTCTTCAAAGAAGATGCCCCCACCATGGTCTTTCCGATTGGTTGGTTATTCAAACTTTCTATAATGGATTCAATTACCCAACCAAGATCAACGTAGATACCGCAGCCAATAGAGCTTTAATGAGAAAATCAACCAAGGATGCTCAAATTTTGATAGCGGAAATGGCCTCTAACAACTATCAATGGACAAATGAAAAAGGTAATTCAAGAAGTGTGGATGGTATGTACGAAATTAACACTCTCAACTCTTTAAGTGCTAAATTAGAAAATATGTTTAGTTCTCGAATGGATAACGTTGAGAGGTTGCTAAGTAAATAAGGAGAAGGTGGTTCAAATTCTTATGTAAGTGTTGCTTATTGTTCAATATATGGCGGTAATCATGATAGTGCTAATTGTTTTCATATGGAGCAAATTCATAATATTAACAACTATAATTGGTCACTTCAAAATAATCCTTTTTCAAACACTTACAACTCCGATTGGAAGAATCATCCCAATTTAGGATCGAGAGACCAATCAAATTCACAAAAACCTATCAATCCATCCAATTTTTTAACAAGACCACTTGAGTCACGTATTTCCATTGGAGGTCAATTTTGAAAAGCATGTTCATGAAATAAAATAAAGATTTGATGATGTTAAAATAAGCATGACAATATGATGATCTTGATAAGGGATATGCAAGGCCAATTAGGTAATATTGCTAATTTCATTAATTTGAGACAACCGAGTGAATTTTCGAGTAAAATCGAGATGAATTCTAGAGAACATATGAATGCAATCACTCTTGGGAATAGCAAATAATTCGAGGATAATCATCTTGGTAAAAATGAAAAGAATGATGGAAATAGGGGAAATAATAAAAAACAAGGTAAAAAGGATCACGCTCCAAATGAGTTTGATATACTTTCTTCTGATATTTTTCATAAGAATGCTACTAACTCCATTCATTTTCCCAATAGGTTGAAGCAAAGCAATATGGAGAAGAAATTTGAGAAATTTGCTCAAATGTTTGAGTAAATTAGAATTAATATTTCTTTTGTTGATACTATCTTACAAATTTCCTCTTATGGTCGTTTCTTGAAGGATATTATTTCAAGAAAGAGAAAAATTGAAGATAATGAGACAATAGCATTAACGAAGGAATGCTCAGCATATATTCAAAGCAAATTTCCAACAAAACTTAAAGATTCAGGGAGTTTCATTACTTCTTGCACCATTGGACTTTTGAATTTCATTAATGTTTTATGTGATTTAGGTGCAAGTGTATCATTGATGCTACTTTCCAATACAAGGAAGCTTGATTTGAGGGAGATGAAGGATACAAAAGTTACTTTTCAATCGACGAATATGTCCATAAAGTGTCCAGTTGGTATAATTGAAAACATCATCATTAAGGTGAAATCGTTCTTTATACTGGCTGACTTTATTGTAATCGATATGAAAGAAGGCATGCATTTACCTATTATTTTAGGTAAACTTTCTTAGCCATTGCCAAAGCTTTAATTTATGCTCAAAAAGGTAAGTTGATCTTTAGAGTAAATCGTGAAGAGCTAGCATTCAATCTTAATGAAAGTAAGCATATTGATTTATGGCATAGAAAAGTTTTTAATTCTAAGAAGGTTAATGTTATACAAAAGTTATATAAAGAAGGTTATCATATTGAAACTCTTGATTCTCATGTTTGTAACATGCCTAATATGAAGAATAAAGGAAAAGAGATCCTTAATTCTAAAGTTCAAGTGGATAAAGGCAAAATATCAAGTAAACTTTGGGATTGTTTCAAATGTTTTTCAAGAAATCCTCATACATATTATGATCATGCTAACTCTTCTTTATTTGATGATGAGAATGATTTGGAGATAGAGCAAGTTTAAAATATGGTGAATGGAAAGAGAAGGTTTAACCCTTGGGAAGGAACTAGTTCCTTTTTCCCTCCAAAGTGAACTTTAAAAAGAAAGACTTTTGAGTCTAACCAACGACTATAAATAAAAGCGCTAATTGGGAGGCAACTCAATGTTTTAAATCATTTCTTTTGTTTTAGTGTGTTTTTATGTGTATTAGATGTATTAAATTGTGTTTGTTAAGTTTATTTTGTAGGTTTTAGAAGTTGATAGAAAAGTGATTTTTTGGAGATTGGCGAGGACACGAAACATGAAGAACTCGACCCCTCAATTTTGCATTTTAGATTTTTTTTGATTCATTATAAAGGGTTAGATTATATGTTTAGATCATTTTAAACTTGCTTGAGACTTTACATTTTGTGAAAAAATGATCAGATTCATGTTTCTGTAGAAGTTGAAATTCTAGTGAACAGTGAAAAAGTGCAGAAATTTGCACTTTAATAGAAAAACTCAGCAATCTGCAAGGCTACCTCATGGATCTGCACCTCTTCTTTCTAAAAAAAAAGGGCTTTCCTTTTCATTTGTTCTTCTTAACCACATACTTCACAAATCACCAAACTTTTGGTTTTCGCATCATTTGAACCTTAACTAATTTGTTTGTCATTTTGCATTTTAGATTTCTATTACTAATAGTTATTATATGGAATTTTTGCACTCTTTGATTTTCATTTATGAAGGAAATGGTTGCAATACAAGAAAGACGAAGTCATCAAAAGTTGCAAGCAAGAGGCTAATTCACTATAGAGGGAGTATTTCTTTTACTCTTATTTTTTCTTGTCACACATTGAGGACAATGCGCATTTTATGTGTGAGGAGAGGTTTATTACCTTCTTAATTGTGGTGATTTGAAAGCAAAATGGTTCAAAATTTTCCTAATTTTGTAAATTTTGAAAGAATTTCTATGACCATTAGTAGGTAAATTCTCCCTTTAAAGTACAATTGATGTGTCTTAAGAATTTCATTTCTTATTTGACTTGGAAATGGCTCTTATATTATTAGAATTTTTGCTATGAAGAAGGTATATATTGTAAAGTATAAGTAATTATGCCTTGAATTTTGCATACTTGATAAGTTTCCTATTTTGATTGAATTTCACAAATGAAGTGATGAATATGGTCAATATTTATATTACTTTTTTTGTGATCATTCTATGTGAGGGAAATTCCTAGTAAAAAGAAAAAAAAAGAAAGAAAAAGTGAGAAAAAGAAATAATAAATAAATAAATATTTACTCCAATGATTCTTAAACCTTAGTAACCAAGAGTGTTCATCTACAAATGTCAACTTCTTGTAAAACAGCTCTTGAATTATAAGTATGCAAAACAACTCTAGTTAGTGATGAAGTCGAGTAATCGGAGGTCTTTATCTACCAATGTCGATTTTTGCGTCAAAAGATATCTTCACTACTTGAGGAAGCTATTTGATATGTATTAACTACGTCCCTCTTTTGAGTAAATAAAGATGATCATGAAAATTGTATGTCTTGACTTAACCATATGAGTTTGTTTAAAAGTGAATTTAGTTGAGGGGTGAAAATGAGTTGGACAAGTCTTAATTCTTGATATAATTATCTCTCCTTTATTTGGTATAATGAGTATTTATGGTGAAATGAATGGTTGTACAATGGTAGTTTACTTTGTTATTGAGGAAATGAATACATGAGCACATATGGATATATTTGAACTATTACGATAGTTTGTAATTCTTAAATTGCTTGAGGACAAACAATAGTTTAAGTATCGGGAAATTTGATTAGCATTTATTTTGCCTATTTCTAGTACGCTTTAGGTTTAATTTTTTGGTGTGTTTTAAGTTAAAATGGAAGAATTTAATTCTTTTATAAGTTACTTTTCATACAAGTAGTGTTTCTTAACCAAACATGCGAAAGTGTGGGTTAATCTATAAATTTGTGTTGTTTTTGTATGTTTTGGTATCTTTTGAATTGATTCAAATCAAGAGGAGTTTGACAATTTTGGCATACCTTAGTATTTCAGCAATATATTGAGTTACAAATATCAGATTGAGATGATTCTTAATCTATTTAGAAAGTAAGACACAGCTCTACAATTCTTGTGAAGATATCAAAATCTAGTTCATTGATTTTCAAGGTCAAAAAGCCGAAATACCATAGGGCAAAATTTCTGTAGAAAGTTCAAACAGAGCATCGACCAATCAAGGGTATTTTGGTTATTTCTCATACTACAAAACTCCAAATGAGATGATTCTTGATGTA